CTTTTCCTCTTCCTTTCTCTTTCCCCCTTCCCCTCTTCCTTTCCTTTCCTCTCTTCTTTCTCTTCCCTTTTCCTCTTCCTTTCTCTTTCCCCCTTCCCCTCTTCCTTTCCTTTCCTCTCTTCTTTCTCTTCCCTTTTCCTCTTCCTTTCTCTTTCCCCCTTCCCCTCTTCCTTTCCTTTCCTCTCTTCTTTCTCTTCCCTTTTCCTCTTCCTTTCTCTTTCCCCCTTCCCCTCTTCCTTTCCTTTCCTCTCTTCTTTCTCTTCCCTTTTCCTCTTCCTTTCTCTTTCCCCCTCTCCGTCTCCTTTCCTCTCTTCCTTCCCTTCCCTTTTCCTCTTCCCTTCTCTTTCTCCCTTCCCATCTTCCTTTCTTCCTTCCCCTCCCTTCCCTTTTCCTCTTCCCTTCCCCTCTTCCCGTCCCCTCTTCCTTCCCTTTTCCTCCCTTCTTTTCCATTTCCCTTTTCCCTTCCCCTCTCCCTTCCCTTCCCTTTCTCAAATGATTAAGATGTCTACTGTTACACAGTGCCCCCCCCCCCTGCCCATGAGCCATGCAAAACCCAGGCGTTGCCCCCAAGGAGCAAAACCTAGAATTTCATTTCAAACGCAGATAAATTGAACCCAGGAGGGAAACGTAAGGGGGCAGAGTAAGCCAGAGAAACCTCCTGATTCCAAACGAAAGCTGCCCTCTTGGCTCCTCTCTTTTTCTCGCCCGTCAGCAACGGGAGGTGGTGTTTGGAGCCTTTGGAGAAGCGGGTCCCCTGGGCAGCCCACTCTGGGAGGACATGACCATCCGGAGCGGCTGGGTACAAGGAGCCTTCGTCATGCTGCAACATTACAGCGCCTTCCAATTCCTCTGCAACTCTGGCAAGTGCTGACTTTCCATCCGCTAAGATCCGGTTGTCCAGATCTGACCGAGGCTTAAAGCATAACTTCTGAAGTCCTTCCGCTGTCAGGAACTTTCTCCAGGTTTCCTGGTGGTCTAGGAAATCACCAGGAATCCACACTTGACTCAAAACAACCATCAATTTATTCAATTGTTCTTTTAGGCCTAGTGGCTTGTTTATGTGAGTGTGGGTTGACTCTTGATTTCTGGCGGCTACATGGATTAATCCATAAAGTTTTCTTGGTGAGATTTTGGGAATAACAAGAGTTGGAAGGGGCCTTGGAGGTCTTCTAGTCTGCTTAGGCAGGAAACCCTACACCACTTCAGACAAATGGATATCCAACCTCTTCTTAAAAACTTCCAGTGTTGGAGAATTCACAACTTCTGCAGGCACTGATTCATTCGTCTCACTGTCAGGAAATTTCTCCTCGGTTCTAGGTTGCTTCTCTCCTTGATGAGTTTCCACCCATTGCTTCTTGTTTTGCCCTCAGGTGCCTTGGAGAATAGTTTGACTGCCTCTTCTTTGGGGCAACCCCTGAGATATCGGAAGACTGCTATCATGTCTCCCCTAGTCCTTCTTTTCATTAAACTAGACATCCCCAGTTCCAGCAACTGTTCTTCATATACAATAGCAGAGTTGGAAGGGGCCTTGGAGGTCTTCTAGTCCAACCCCCAGCTTAGTCAGGAAACCCTCCACCACTCCAGACAAATGGCTATCCAACCTCTTCTTAAAAACTTCCAGTGTTGGAGAATTCACAACTTCTGGAGGCACTGATTCATTCTTCTAACTGTCAGGAAATTTCCCCCTTAGTTCTAGGTTGCTTCTCTCCTTGATTAGTTTCCACCCATTGCTTCTTCAGGTGCTTTGGAGCAATGGTAGTCCGTGGACCACTGGGAAAACGTTTGTGGTCCGCAGAAAAGTTATTTGCATTTTTTTATATTGCGCTAAATACTATTTATCTTTTTTTTTTAAAAAAAAANCTTCCAGTCCAAACTTCTGCTCAGGCAGGCAATCCTATACCATTCTGGACAAATGGCAGTCCAGTCTCTTCTTGAAAACCTCCAGTGATGGAGCGCCACGATTTCTGGAGGCACGTTCTAGAGGTAAGTTCTTTTGAATGTTGCCCCAAGTCTATAAATGTAGAAGAATCAAAACACCAATAATTCTGGCTATTAATTCTGTGTGATTGTGAACCCTAGCTGTCATTTCTGTCGCCATCTCCTTTGCAAAACGATTAAAAGGGGCTTTGACACACGGGAAAGAAAACCCTTGGCATTTGCAACTTTCTAGCTCACTGCAGCAAGCCGGGCTATTAGATTGGAAATACATGTGAGAAGTGATGCAGAAGAAGGAACTGTGGATGAAGTGCTCCACTGAATATTTTAATGCCCTTGCCAATAATGCAAACGAGCGCAGGGGGATGCACTAGCATCTTCTGGGTATGACTGTCAAATTAGTTCCTGGAAAGCTTAGCCAAGCCAAATGGAGATCCACTGGCAATCAGCATTCCAGTTTTGCTCCCAAGAAAAGCAACTTGCTCGCACCGGCTTTGTTTTATTTGGCTTGCAGAAACCGAAAGAGTAAAACACTGTACAGCAAAACCCCTTCCAGAAGTTGGCAGGTAGGTTAGATTCATCAGAAGGCCTAAGGAAGTAAGAGTAGTGCAGAGAATTCTAGGTGGCAATCTGCAGAAGAAAGAGATACAATCAGCTGGGTGTGACACATCCAGAAAGATTGGCTGTATTTATACCTGTAACACGAGATCTTCTGCAAAGGCAGAAGCAGCACTGACAGCAATACTACACATTTAAGTTGAACTGCATTGTGGACTGGGAAAGGACTAGGGCGGGAAGGGAAAACTCAAGGTGATAAAAATGGCAAAACAAACCTTTTTGGGCAATGAGATCCCCATCCAAGGATCCAGCCCAAGCAGGGGATTATCCACCCCATTTTGGTAGGATCTGACACCATTGCTGTTGTGGCCCAGCAGGAGCCATTGGAGCTGCCACCAGACTCCGACAGCGAGGGGCCCTATGAGTCGGCTTTGNCGAGCTGGACAAGCTGAAAGGCTTGAAGCTGGAGGAGCTCTGGCTGGACGGCAACCCCATGTGTGACAGCTTCCAGGACCGCTCCGCTTACATCAGGTGAGCCGCAGCCTTCGTCCCCTGTGCCCCCCTCGACTCACCGGAGGAGAGCCGCCCTTCCCATGGCCCTGTCTCCCCGGATTGTGATGGGGTGACAGCAACACCACCACCAGCCCCACGCCTCCAGTTTCGCCCAAGAGGCCTTCTCTTTTTGCCTGGTTGAGGACTGGGTCTTCCCAGCTGGCCCCCGTGCTCTCAGAGCGGGGGGCCTTCTGCCTTCTCTGACTTTGCTTTGCGATGTCTTCTGACCATGGTTTTATTGCAGCTAGATTGGAGCACTGCCTGCCGGGGGTTTCCTTCTCACCCTCCTCAAAAGGGATTTAAAAAGTGTTTGCCTCCCTCTTCCTCCCCCATCCCCATGTTAATACATTCCTCTTCCCCTCCAGGCATCTCTTGCCTGTCCTAATGTCCCCCCCCCCCCCCCTCCCCTCAATCTTCTCTCCTTCGGAGGCCCCCAAGACTCCTCTGAGTGCACAGCCTTCGCCTTCCCCTCCCGCTTCCTTCTGTGGCTCGCCCACCTCCCTTGAGGCCCGAGCCTGCCATTCTGGGTCTTCCTTCTCTGTTTGGAGGGCCAGAATATATTTTTTTTGCGCCTCCTCGACTTTCACATTGGCACGAGAGCTGCCAAACAGCGAGGATTCCCTGGTGACCGGATAAGAGACAAAAAAAAAAAAGAAAAACGTGGCCCCTACAGACGGCTGGTTAGCCAATGACGGGTAAGATTCCTCGGTGGAAGGAACAACCTAAGACAGGCACAGTCAAATTGGCGGCCGGAACGAGCCCTCCCGGTGGCGGAAGGCGACGGAGTGAGAGAGAGAGAGCGAGAGAGAGAGCCCAGGGAACCTCGTTTGCACACCGCGCCCGCGCGCGCTTTCTCCTGGCATGGATGCTGCCGGAAACGGCTCAAGGAGGGAGAATGTTCTCACTTAACAGCCGAGCGAGGCGGCTTTTTCTCCCGAGCTGAAAGGGCCACGGAGCTTGTGGCGAGCAAATCGGCGGAAACCCCCCTCCCCTCTCCCTGCAGGAGGAGGCTTCAGACACAATGGCAGGCACGCAGGACGGACCTTGGCGGTGGGAAGGGAACGCCCAAAGGGGCTTTTGAGGATGGAGGAGGCTGTGCACCAGAGCGGGCGGGCTTCTGAATCACGTACACACACACACACACATACCCTTTTTTCCCCCCTGAGGTTCCCTTGCTTCTCAACCCAACTCCCCCCCCTGTCCTTTGCACACTTTAAATTAGACTTCGACCTTGATACGGGAACGCTTTTTGTAAAAAAAAAAAGCGTTTTAAAAGGTTGGCGGCCCAGGAAGTTGCTTCTGGCATCTCCAGGACCAATGGGGCACCTTGGCCATATTCCCTTCCTCCCCCCTCTTCTTCCTCCCCCCTTTGAAAGAGCGTTTCTCCTATAAATGATCCGGCCAGGTGAGTACCTCCTTCAGGTAAGTGTGGAGACCCTTCCAGTTCACGCAGCCTCCTTTTTTTAAAAAAAGTGAACACCTCTGTCTCTCCTGCATGTGTAAAACTACAGGGAAGGAAACTGCCCCATTTACAGGGTGTTCGACTGAGGCTTGCGTTTTGGGGTGTGGGGGTCAGAACCTTGGCGTGCTGTCTCCTAGCATCAAGCCAGCGGTCGCCCCCTGTTCCACGCGGTGGTAATAACCAGCTGGAGCCACTTCTCTTAAAAGCTAGAAATGTCCAGCGAATGAAAACCGATGGCGACGTTTTCTCCTTAAGAGAGGTCGAGCATCGTATTCCGGTACTTAAACAGGCAGTGGGGGAGCTTTTAACCAATGGCAGAAGTGACTCCGCTTTGTTTCAAGAGGTGCTGTGTCTTTTTATGGCCTTTGAAACGTGCTCTTTTAGCACCTAGCCGAAGAGACTGGGCCTGAGTTCAAACCCTAGGCACACCCTTCGTTAGACGGAGCTTGTGTAAATCCCCGCCAAAAATCTTAGCGAGTCTATTTTGCAGCTCCTCGTTTAAAAGATTCCGGTGAGCTGCGCCCCTGTTTCTTAGCCCCAAGAGCAATTGCTCCAGGGCTCAAACCGGTCGAACGGAATTCCTTTTCCTGTTCTTTGCAAAATGCCGACCCAGCGTAAGTTTCCCTGTTGAAAGAGGACTAGCTGCTTCATAAGTTTAAACACCGGATTGGCAGCTTAAGAGAAGTTCTTTTAACTTCCGTCCACCGGAGCCGTTTTATGAGTCATCCTTTATTTCTTGGCCCATCAGCACCGTGCTGGGGGAGTTAAAGCCCGCCCCCGCTCCCTTCGCTGAAGCATGGGCGCCGTTCCTAAAATGGACGAAACGGGCTCGCTAGGCAGGGCGAGGCTCCATGGAGGGCAGGCTATTCAGAGGGAGGGGTCAGCTGTGCCAACAGGACAACTCCTGCGTACTCATTTTTGTTGTGTTTCCGACAGCGCCATCCGAGAACGGTTCCCCAAGCTGCTGCGGCTGGTGAGTTATCCAAAGGCTGGCAGGTCCTGGTGTGTGTGTGTGTGTGTGTGTGTGTGTGACACGTTTGACAAAGCTCCCCCCCCCCCTTTTCCCTCTGCAGGACGGTCACGAGCTGCCTGCGCCGATCTCGTTTGACGTTGAAACGCCTACCACTTTGCCTCCATGCAAGGTAGACCAAACCTCGGGGAAGGGGCAGATGGAAATGGGTTGGGGGGGGGAGGAACGACACCTGTTACGGACCACACGAGGGTCTCCCCAGGTGGGCTGTCCTCCCTGGTCTGCTTGGAGACCACCTCCTTCAAACCAGCCTCCTGGTCTTCCTTTCTACAGGGCAGTTATTTTGCCTCCGAAGGCTTGAAAATGCTAATTGTCCGCTTTTTACAACAGTGAGTATATCACTTTTATTCACAACTAGCCGATAACCCGGCATTGCCCAGGGGATTTTATTTATAGGGGGGAAATGTCTGGACCAAACCGCCAGGAGCCGAGGTGGCGCAGTGGTTAGGGTGCAGTACTGAAGGCCACTACAGCTGACTGTTATCTGCAGTTCGGCGGTTCAAATCTCACCGGCTCAAGGTTAACTCAGCCTTCCATCCTTCCGAGGTAGGTGAAATGAGGACCCGGATTGTTGGGGGCGATATGCTGACTCTGTAAACCGCTTAGAGAGGGCTGAAAGCCCTATGAAGCGGTATATAAGTCTAACTGCTATTGCTATTGCTATAGTTGTCAAGTATCCACCTTTTGATCAGAGGACCATGGGGATGCTGCAATGGTTGGAAGTGTAAAAAACAGTCATAAGTCCCTTTTTTAAGTGTCGTCGTAGCTTGGAATGATCACTAAATGAACTGTTATAAGTCGAGGATGACCAAGTCAGTGGAATGGCTTCCCTCCAGAAATTGTGGGTGCTCCAACACTGGAGGTTTTTAACGAGGAGACTGGACAGTCGCTTGTCTGGAAGGGTATAATAGGGTCTGCTGGTAGAGCAGGGGGTTGGACTAGAAGACCTCCGAGTTCCCTTCCAACCCTATGGTTCTATATTCTATAGAACTAAACTGCCTAGTTGAGAACAATTAACCAGTGGAATTGCTTGCCACCAGAAGTTGTGGGAGCTCCAACCCTGGAGGTTTTCAAGAAGAGCGTCAGGTTTCCGAAAGATTCCCTAATTGACTCATGAGTCTCGAGCCAAGTTTCAAAAGAAAACCAGTCATTTATTAGGGGCATTTATTTTGGCAAGACCTTTTGGCACTCAGATCTGAGCCTCGTTTGAATTATCGCTGAACTTTACCCCTGTTCCTTCCCTTCCCTCAGTCTGTGTCATAAATCACATTCCGCAATGAGGTGCCGCCCTCCCAAGCCTGCTGCGATAATCTGAGACCCGACTCGAGCCAAAAGCGTGTGTGGAATGCGCTCCCCCCCCCCCCTTTCCTCACTATGGCAACTTTAGGAGTAGACATTGAGATTTGTCTGAAATGCTATAGGGTCTCCTGCTTGAGCAGGGGGTTGGAGTAGATGACCTCCCAGGTCCCTGTTCTATAAAAGAATAGTGGCATCCAGCTCTTTGGTGGTGCATAATTGTCCACTCCCTTCCAGATATTACGCCATCTACGACTCCGGAGACCGACAAGGCCTGCTGGATGCCTATCACGAGGGGGCGTGCTGTTCGCTAAGCATCCCGTTTTCCACGAATCACCCTTACAGGTCTGTTTGGGGGTTCCACCGCTTGTCTTGTCTTGTGGGAGGTAGTTTGCCGTGTTCCACCTTACCATGTGCCAGCAAATATTTAAAACTCAGCATTCACTCTGCCTTCGTTGGACCAGGCCAACGAGTTAAGCTGGATTTCTTCGCATCTGCTTCTGCTTTTCTTTCTGTGACTTCGGGGTACAAACTTGCTCATTGAAAATTCAAAATGTTTGACACCCCTGGAAAACAGCCGTAACGAAGAAGGGAGCATGTGGGGAGAACCCAATCAGAAAACCGGCAGTCAGTTTTTCATCCTTTTTTTATTATTATTATTATATTTTTATTGTACAATTTTCTTAGTTAAGTATAAAATATCTATATTCACGATTAACAGTATACCATCTAGGTACAATCCCTATTGAGTACAGATAGTAAATCTGTATTGTAACTATTATTCTCAATACCTAATTCATCTTCACTTATCCTTGTTGAAAACTTTGTGTAGTTTGATTAAACCCTCTGTTCAATTTTATCTATAATCTATTAATAATATCAAACATTATAAACATCATGTGAATATCACGCGTATAACCATTAATTTCCAAATAATTATACAGTTTGCTTATCTGAAGTGCTCAATGTTCATTATTTAATTGCACAAATTACCATATTTTTCGGAGTATAAGGCGCATGGGAGTATAAGACGCACCAAGATTTTGAAGAGGCAAATTTAAAGAAAAGGTTTTGCACTATGCAGACCTCCCAAAAACGGCCCGTTTTTTTGTCACAAAAAGGGCATGAATAGCCTTTAGGATGCTTCCAGAGTGCTCCTG